CGAACGACCCATCACTAGTGCCTTGGTCTATTGCTCACCCTTGACGTCGAACTGTAATCGTCACTGCAACTCTCACTGCAACGTAAATGGTGCTTTATACTTGTATCCCGGTGTTTACACTCACATGCATAAGGCTACATCCACACCACGGTCAAGTGAGCACTCACATGCGAAGTCAAAGTCAAGCGAGTCGCACCCCCAGCCGCACCTACAATCTTGTTGCACCTTTCTTACGCCTATTACGGTATGAGTGCCAACAAGATGCGGCTGGGGGTGCGGCTAGCTTGACTGTAACTTCTCATGTGAGGGCTCACTTGACCGCAGTCCGATGTACACGGGTATTTATGTATTTATTTAGGAAACGCAGCTTTTACTATGCGTTTGCACCGTTCGTCCAAATTTCCATCACTGAAAACTGAGATTTTTAAAAACGCCTACCAGTGTGGAGATTTTCAAAACCTCCGTTTCTGCGTTTAGGTTTTTATTTGTCACCCAAATAACGCCGTTTTTGACGTCACGCTGTGCGCCACGTTATTGTTTACATGAGATGAATTTGTACAATGGTGGATAGAGACAAGATATTGTTGCTCTTAATCTTACTATCTGCAGTTTTTACATGCTTACATATACACAGTTACTGGTCCTCCATTTAGAAAGACAGAGAGGTCAGAGTGAACTTCGGACGTGGCTTCTTCAACACACACGCTCTCATAACCCAATTCCCGACGTCGGTTTTGAATTAAACAAAAAAAAAAAATTAAACTTATGTATGCTGTATACATTTTGTTCATTCCTAATTTTTTTCTTAACATTTCTTAACATTTAAAATGATGAAAGCACTTGAAAAGTACCACAAAATTAGTTGCCTTTCCAAAAATAAAAATAAAACTTTTCAGAAGTAGGCTACTTAAGGTTTTGTGAGGACACAAAACCCTGTATTGTCAGGGTTCTGGGTCTGAGCAACCCAGGATCCCTGAGCAGTTATGGACTGGTTATATTATATGGTGTTGCTGTCTCTCTTCTTCCTGTTTGCGGATGTGTGTATGTGTTTCTGCGAGCGCCGGTCTGCGGGCGCCTTCAGGCCTCGTGGGTGTGGCCCTGCT